ACTTTCATAATGGTGTTTCTCTCTATACATGTTCCAATGGTGTATTTGTGATTCGGCCCAGTGTATTTTATTTTCACATTTGTTTTCCTTTCTTTTCTTTAATTTTTTTAAATATATTAGAGGATATGTTATTATCTCATCAGGCAACCTGTATGTTCCCAAGATGATGTTGATGCAAATACCTGTACTTGTCAGCTACTATATCTAAGCATCTAACCATGTATAGTAGTTGTGTTAGGACGTCTGCCTGTCATTTACAGCTGAGGACAGCTTTTTTTCTGCTGGGGGGAGATGTAATGGTCTGGGTGTCTGTCCCTTTAAGACTCTGATTCGGGGTTTCCTCTGCCCCTGCACTCATGTGTATATGCTGGGGAAAAACACATTGTACTTTCTATCGTTTGGTTTCACCTTCCTTTAACATTAATACATAGGTTGATGGTGACCTGCATCGTGTGTTTCTTTCTTCCATAATGCACAATAGGTTACAATGCAAAACTGTATCGCACACGTGCTACTGTAGTACATTTATTCATTGCACAGACCAATTTTTTTGTTGCACTGTACAGCCCTGACCAAACCAGTTCCAGATTATAGAGGCATCTTAAGAAAGTCATACAGGTTTGGAATAGCACGAGGATGACTAAATGATGACAGAATTTTCGTTTTTGGGTGGACTATCCCTTTAAGCCTTCATGTTTGCTGAAACTCCAAGAGATTTGAATTTCACAGGAAATCCAAAAGATGAAACCAGAGTAAAGAACACAAGCAGACCAGACAGAGAAAATAACGCCACAGTTTCAGCACAATGCACCACTGCTGGGAGACATTTTCAAACCACAAACCTTGAAAGATGACAGAACAAGAGGGAAAAAATCACCTAATTACGTTCACATAAATAGTACAGCTAGCTAGCTAACAAAACAATACACAGCTTATCCTTATTGGCTGTGTCTATGCTGCTTCAGCTCACAGTTTTCATTGTTTTCATCCATGGCATCATCTTTATGAGCGTATCTCCACACCAGGTGCATATCATATCAGTTTGAGCTCTTTTATTGTTGTTTTTGGACGAGTAAGGGCTGTAATTATTTAAATTGTCACATGGCTAATCACAGTGCTGATTCTATTGAATGGCGAAGCCCACATTTGACGGCAAGTGCCAAAATTAGTTTGACAACCTGGCCTGGACTCTTAATTAATTTTCCACCACGGTCTTCTCGCTAACACTTAGTGTTGCTGAATTTCATGCTTAGAGTTCTCCATGCCGCTATAATTTCTCATTAAGCCTTAGTTTGTCCCAGTGCACTGAAATACACTTGAAAATAATGAATGGTATTACATGAAACAAAACATCAGTGTCCCTTGAAAGCAATATTCAACAGTGTAATCCCCAGTCTGAACATCTCAAGTCCTCGACATACTCACGCTTACGCATACATGTGGATTAGGTTGTAGCGAGGGCAAAGTGAGAAAATCAGACACATAATTAATGAATTAAACCTCTAAGGAAATACATGCCAGACATTTCAGCAACAACCCGGCGCTTCACATATGGTTTTGAGGGATGTGTCCACAGCTGTTAATGATTGGAATGCAGCATGGGATGCAACCCATTTGAGGGTGCAATCTAGCTGGAGTGCATCTAGCAGCAGCCTCGAAAATGTCTTACACTCTCAACAAATGATTTAGGCATCAGCAGCCTGCATCACTGAGATAAGCGCTCTACTTCACTTTAAAGGACGCTCATATGCTTTGACAGCCCACTCTGTAATTTTAGTGCCAGAGTTCTCTGACGCCGGGAGAAAGAGCACTCTGAACAGAGCCCAGACTCTCTAGCATAACACAATCATCTTGACATGCTCATCTTCACGCTGACCTTTAGGAGGAGATCTACAGTGTAAGAATCTGTGGATATATGCTAGCTAAGAAGTGGTCTATATATCTGATCACTCTATCAGCACTTTTTGCTGGATAAGGATATTAAAAGAAGAGCAAAACTTGAACATATTTACTTCACACATGTTACTGGTCTTATTGAGTCTCTGAAATAACTCTGCTCTTCTCCTGATGTATCTATAGGTGGAGTCAGATATACCATTGTTTGGTGAATTTTCATGTGCAAAATCCATTCATTTCAACAGGAATCCACAGCCACTTTTCCACAGTCAGGCTGAATGGTTCTAAGAACGGTAAGGAACGGTTCCAGTTGTGTTTCCACTTGAGTTTGGTTTGGTATGGCACGACTGCAAAGTTCTTGGCCTGGAATCAGCCAACCATGCTACACTCTAAAAAATGCTGTGTTGTTTCAACCCAACTTTGGGTCAAATATGGACTAACCCAACCTTTGGGTTAAAAGTGAGAAAATCAGACACATAATTAATGAATTAAACCTCTAAGGAAATACATGCCAGACATTTCAGCAACAACCCGGCGCTTCACATATGGTTTTGAGGGATGTGTCCACAGCTGTTAATGATTGGAATGCAGCATGGGATGCAACCCATTTGAGGGTGCAATCTAGCTGGAGTGCATCTAGCAGCAGCCTCGAAAATGTCTTACACTCTCAACAAATGATTTAGGCATCAGCAGCCTGCATCACTGAGATAAGCGCTCTACTTCACTTTAAAGGACGCTCATATGCTTTGACAGCCCACTCTGTAATTTTAGTGCCAGAGTTCTCTGACGCCGGGAGAAAGAGCACTCTGAACAGAGCCCAGACTCTCTAGCATAACACAATCATCTTGACATGCTCATCTTCACGCTGACCTTTAGGAGGAGATCTACAGTGTAAGAATCTGTGGATATATGCTAGCTAAGAAGTGGTCTATATATCTGATCACTCTATCAGCACTTTTTGCTGGATAAGGATATTAAAAGAAGAGCAAAACTTGAACATATTTACTTCACACATGTTACTGGTCTTATTGAGTCTCTGAAATAACTCTGCTCTTCTCCTGATGTATCTATAGGTGGAGTCAGATATACCATTGTTTGGTGAATTTTCATGTGCAAAATCCATTCATTTCAACAGGAATCCACAGCCACTTTTCCACAGTCAGGCTGAATGGTTCTAAGAACGGTAAGGAACGGTTCCAGTTGTGTTTCCACTTGAGTTTGGTTTGGTATGGCACGACTGCAAAGTTCTTGGCCTGGAATCAGCCAACCATGCTACACTCTAAAAAATGCTGGGTTGTTTCAACCCAACTTTGGGTCAAATATGGACTAACCCAACCTTTGGGTTACATTTTTACATTAAATTTTTAACCCAAAAGTTGGGTTAGTCCATATTTGACCCAAAGATGGGTTGAAACAACCCAGCATTTTTTAGAGTGTAAGAGGCAATGACTGAAATATTTGTATTACAATCTCTTTTATCAGCCCAGCGGTGGAAAATTAAACCATATCCCTATGATAGGGATATAGGCCAGATCGGCATTGTTAAGAAACGAGAACAGTTTGGTCCAAGGTGGAAAAGCGGTTTGTGTGATTGGAAATTTCGCATGAGGCATAAACATTAGTTAACTACATTGGTTATGATGAACTAACAGTGATAAATACTTATAAAGCATTTAGCAGTAGTACTTTATTTATTTTTTTCCTGATTTTTTCATGGATTTTTGTAGTAACCTGTGTGTGTGTGTGTGTGTGTGTGTGTTGCTTCAAGAGAGCAAACATACATTTGTGCTGTGTTTTACTTTCTTTTATATTCATTCATTCATTAAATCATTCATTCTTCATTAATTTATTAATTAATTCATAATCACTTATCATTTAATCATTTTATTATTCCATTTAATCATATAATCATTTATAATCATTTAAGACATTTATATACTAATTTCCTTGACTTATTCATTGATTAGTCATTTTAATTATATTTTCATTTTTTTTATTTTAATTATAATAATTATAATTTAGAATTTATAATAATTATAAATTATTTTTCCATTGTTGTTTAGTCTTATGATGTGTGGTTTCAAGTTATATTTGTTTACAAGTATACAAGTCTTTTACAAGTAAGAGATATGAGAATGTTTCCATTGCAAGGTTTTTAATGTCACGGGACGTTGTTGTGAAGCAGTAATTTTCCATTGCTATGGCTTATGGCACACGTCTGTGCACTGAAACATATGCAACAAAAATTATTCAATAAACCCATTTTTGATCATTATCACTTTGTCTCCTGCTTCTGATCTTCACTGGCTTTGCTCGGTCAACTTCTCGGCTGATAAGAGATATATATCTGTTTATATAGTTTTGAGTATCAGACAAAACCCTGGTTATGGGTACCAGACAAGGCTTGCAGTTAACAGGTTTTGGGTATTAGACAATTTTGCTGACTAATTGTTCTGTTACCAGTCAAAATGGACATTTACTGACAGCATCTGGCATCCGGGGCGGGATCTGATATTTCTGGCAAGGAGGCATGATCTAACAGATATCCCCTAGTAGCCCATCCTACATGACCTCCCTTTGAATATTTCACTCGGAAATATGTCATGTTACAGACATGTATTGTTTCACACTGTCTTTGAAGAAATGCATAGCAGGAATGAAAAACAGATTATGATATTGAAATCTAAACTTTCTAAAGGTATGCTTCTCCCAAAAATGTATATTCTGTCTTTTTTTTTTTTTACTCATATAGTAAAATTATAGTATAGTTCAAAACCTGTACACTGTTATTTTTGTTCAATGATACATTGAAAAGTTTCAGAAGAATTTTCAGAATTTTTTTACATACAATGACAGTTCATAGTGACTCCATCCATGTCACAATCAGGTCACTGTAATTTCTTTAAGACAGCCAGACAGAAAAATATAAATATGCTGTTCATTCCTGCAGAACGGATCCTTGTTACAGACTGAAATACATGTCCTGTGCAGTAATAACTATAGGAAACAACTACACACAGCCAGTGCCTGGAAATGTGCTTGTAAATATGTCTGTATGTGATTGTGTGTGTATGTATTCATGAAAGAGGCTTGAGAGAACTCACACAGTAATAGCAGCTCCAGCCGCTGGTGGTGTGGGCCGTCTCTCTCATTTCCTGCAGGGCTTCAGTGCTCAAGTAGCCCATCTCCCGCAGACAGCCGTCGTGGAAGACCCGCGTGCACGTCCGGCAGGGGAACAGATCGTCTGCTGTCCAAACCTCACACACCTCGCATATCTCATCATTGATGGGCTGAACGCAAAACAGATAAATCATTCCTTACTTATGTAGCGTCTGGACCACTCCAACACACAATATATATTTTGTTAGCTAGATTTCACAAATACTTTGTAACACCCCAGGACGCCGAACAAGACCCTGGTTTCATGGTAACCCGATACATTTACAACCTTGTGGAATGCGAGCCGGCTCTCATTCTGCTTTCTCCAGAAACAAGGGGTACAAATGCACAGGAGAAATGGACTGTTCTACTAATTAATTCATAGGAAAACCTTCTTTGAATGAACACCCATTTTCTTCAGGCCAGTGTGTATATTATTGCTGTGTTGTATTTAATAGCAACCAGACTCTTACTGATTCACTGAAAGTAAGACCATACAGCCCATTGAAAATGCATAATGACACATGACAGGAAGTGTGGAGACTCGTCAATAAGCTAACACCTCAAACAATCAAACTTCTATACCTCCCTCCATTAAATGCTTTGCACTAAAGGTCACCAAATATAGAAATAATCTCACTTGACATTCCCTGCTCATTTAAAGTCTCCTATGGTGCAGCTGAATCTGCATGTGGTCACTTTCATGTCATGACATGTGGAAGTCATGCTGGTTTGATGAATGCAGCACAAGAAAATGTTTTACTGATCCCAAGAGCGAAATTTATTGAAAGTTTTATGAAAACTAAACTGATAGAATGTAAATCTATTGTATAGATAGTATAGACGTCTACTGTCCAAACATCTAAACTATATTTAAAGCATTGATTAATTCATTTCTTTCATTACTCTTTTGACGCATTAGACAAGCTACTAACAAAAGGTAGACTACATTGAAGCTACTTAAGGAGAAAATATATTTTGAAATATATAACTATATCATTCTAATAAAGGCATATTAGTAAAAAAAAAAAACGAATAACCTAGTTCATTGAGTGTGGCAGCAGCATTACATTTTAAATTATTTTACAGAAAACAAATAGAATAGAATACAGTAGTCAACATTTGAAGTGGATCATAACCTTTCATCAAAGTTGTCCTAAAACCTAAAACCAAAATGCGTTCTTGTTTTAGGACAACTTTAATGAACATTTTTGATCCACTTCAAATGTTGACTACTGTACTCCATGATTTATATATCTGGGAAAATATTAATGTACAGCAGTAATTTGACCAAACATCTCATTACTAAAAAATATGCCACAGGGGAAGTTAAATCGATCACTTTGTTTTTATTTATTTTTTATTTTTTTATCAAACCATTTATGGTTTAATGAACCATCCAAATGATCAAATTACTAATTAATAATATATAATAAATAATAATTATATCCAAACCGTTAAAACAAATTTTAAACTGAATTTAATTAATTAAAGCTTAATTAAAATATAAATATAAAAATGAAACAATTTTAAAAATGTAATTAAATTAAAAATGTTGCAGTGGCAACTAACTGAAATAAAAATAAGATTATTGATTTGAAGATCTGAAGAACTAAAATGACTCAAATCAAAGCCTGAAATAAATAAAAATGTAAAAACAATCTAAATAGAAATATATTTAAACACTAAAAGTGATTTTAAAAAATCACTTCACAAGATTACTAAAATGTAAACTAAAATTAAAATGAAAACTGAAAATATTCAAATCAAATCTAAATTAAAAAAATGTTTAATAAATACTATAGCAGTATATAAATAATACTAAAATAACACTGTTTTTAATACTAAAATAACACTGTTGCTACTTTATAATTAGTTAACTTCCAACAGGTAATGAGTGATTAACAAATGTTGCAAATCACTGATAGAATCTATTATCTAATGAACTGCATTTTACATCATCTTATTTCATGCTGCTCTTCCTCTCTGCAGTGCCGCCCGTCTAGAGACAGACCGTGGAGACTGGACATAACTATTGACAACCTGTCACATTAATGCAGCTCAGGGTCAGACAGTTTAAAGCCTTGGAAACATGCGGAGACAAAACTGTAGTTCAAAGTTTATATCATGATTAAAAAAAATCACTTCACAAGATTACTAAAATGTAAACTAAAATTAAAATGAAAACTGAAAATATTCAAATCAAATCTAAATTAAAAAAAATGTTAATAAATACTATAGCAGTATATAAATAATACTAAAATAACACTGTTTTTAATACTAAAATAACACTGTTGCTACTTTATAATTAGTTAACTTCCAACAGGTAATGAGTGATTAACAAATGTTGCAAATCACTGATAGAATCTATTATCTAATGAACTGCATTTTACATCATCTTATTTCATGCTGCTCTTCCTCTCTGCAGTGCCGCCCGTCTAGAGACAGACCGTGGAGACTGGACATAACTATTGACAACCTGTCACATTAATGCAGCTCAGGGTCAGACAGTTTAAAGCCTTGGAAACATGCGGAGACAAAACTGTAGTTCAAAGTTTATATCATTTTCAAGGGCTTTTGGTGCAGACCCAAGAGTCTCCACAGGAGTTGGGATGGTTTGAGAGCTGATGACTCACGGTTACAGTGCTACTGCTGCTAGTGCTAGAGTCAATCGTACAATCAGAGCTAAATATTACAATGTGAAAAGAGACCAGCAGGGGAAGGACTTGGAACATGGAAACCAAGCATTAAAATGAGCTTTACCTCCAGAATCACTGCTACCTAGTCAACTTCAAGTAATTAAATTTGGTTAAAAAAAAAAAAAAATTTTAAGTATCGTGGCACTAGGAAGCCAGGGATCACTTGTCAGATATTCCAGATGATAAGTTCACCCTACACACTCAGTCTTTGCTCTTCAGATTGTGACATGTGTCTCTGAGGAGGGTAAGGATTGTGATATGAGCGCGGGGGTGAGAGGTGCTGTATTTAGAAGCGGGACGATCAGAAGAGCCGAAGGACGTCACCTTGCCACTGAGCCTCTGAAGCTGAATCTGACTCTCAGCATCATTTTCCCTTAATATTAATAAAAAATATATTTATTTTCCCAAAGACAAAAAAAAATTACATTCATACAGGTTTAAAAAGATTTATATAAAATCATACCATATTTAAAATATGTGAACCTGGACCACAAAACCAGTCATAAGTGTAAATTTTTCGAAATAATAAATAAGCTGAATAAATAAGCTTTCCATCGATGCATGGTTTGTTAGGATAGGACAATATTTGAAAATCTGAAAACCTTTAAAGTTGTCCGAATGAAGTTCTTAGCAATGCATATTACAAATCAAAAATTAAGTTTTAATATATTTACGGTAGGAAATTTACAAAATATCTTCATGGAACATGATCTTTACTTAATATCCTAATGTTTTTTGGTATAAAAGAAAAATCAATCATTTTGACCCATACAATGTATTTTTGGCTATTGCTACGAATATACCCCAGCGACTTAAGACTGCTTTTGTGGTCCAGGGTCACATATTTTCTTTGGACACCAAAATGTAGGTTATTATAATATTTTTGGCTTTTCATAACTGAATTTTACTATAAACAAAAGCTAAATGAGTTATAATATGAAAATATAAATTTCACTTAAGATAAAATTAAACCATTTTGTTATTCAGTTTACTTTAGTTTGCTTAGTATATATTCTATATATTCCTAAAGACAGGAATATTCTTTTCGAAAAACCTTAAAGGGATAGTTCACTCCAAAATGAAAATTCTGTCATTAATTACTCACCCTCATGTTGTTCCAAATACGTAAGACCTTCCTTTATGGTTGTTTTCTTTGCGCACAAAAAGTATTCTCGTAGCTTCGCAAAATTGAAGTTGAGCCACTGATGTCACATGGACTATTTTACCGATGTCCTTACTACATTTCTGGGTCTGGGAACGTTTCAGTTGCGTTGCTGTCTGTGCACGGTCAGAAAGCTCTCGGATTTCATTTAAAATATCTTAATTTGTGTTCTGAAGATGAACGAAGGTCTAACGGGTTTGGAACGACATGAGGGTGAGAAATTAATGACAGAATTTTCATTTTGGGGTAAACTATCCCTTTAATATTAATTGTGATGTCTTTATAAAAATGCATTTTAAATAAATGACACCGTCATTTCACATTATGTAACACCTTCCTGCTTTCTAAGATTTTCCTTCTCACAAGAAGACTGCTGTAATCTCACAAATATCTCAGCAGAGATCTCAACATTGTCTCAAACTGTGCTTAGATTTGCCAAAATAACTAAGTCTGCAATCAAACCTTAGAAATTTGACTATGAACTCAAACATTTCTTGTCAAATTCTTCCCAAAATCGTATAATCTGATGCTAAGTATTATTATAGTTCTATACTCTATATACTGTATGACAAAAAAATTCCCTCATTTTGATTTCTGCTAAGAAAATCTTGGATAAAGTTTATGCCCCTTTGCCAAAGTAAAAGCAAAGTTTTTCATTCTCACAATTATATTCACCAGCTGTTCAATTTTTCATTCATGTCAGTACTGCCTGTTTGTTTATTAATTATCCTGAACCATATTTCAACATCGGCAAATGCATCTAGACATAACTCACAAAGACTAGTTAAATTGCAACTCATTCTGCCTGCTCTTATGTCTTTTATATCTGCTGAGAGAGAGAGACTGCAGGTAAACAAAAGCGTTCTGTTGAGTGGAGTTGTGTGGAGTGACTCTTCTCCGGCTCGTTATGAGGCCTGGCCCAATTGCCGCAAGCTTCAGTGACCCCAATTCATTTCGGACTGATCCCAGACGCCAGCGCAGCTCACCCAGCCAGGTTTTTCCAGCACAGCCTATACCTGCTGCCCACGCACTTTCAACAAACCTGAGCTGCCATTTAGGCTGAGCTGGGAACAGCTTCCCTTACTCACAGTCTTGACATTTTCTCACATACATGCGTCACAGAGCAGGTTTCAGCTCTGAATGAAAGGATAACCTCCAACAGCACCCCTGTACTTTTAGCTGGAAGGAAAGCCAGACTAGTTTGTATATATTTTAGTTTTAGTATATAAGTTATTCCTTATTCTCATGCAGTTGTAGGTAAATAACCAGA